ATATTTTGTTAGTATATCTTTGAAACTTTGACGGTGCATTCGTTAATCAAAATGGCATTATAAGATATTCAAATTGTCCTAGCGGGGTAGTAAATAATGTGTACTTTACCGATTCTTTTTCCATAAAAACATGGTGAAAACAATTTTTTAAGTCTAACTTTGAAAACAATTTTTTATTCGCTAATCTTCCTAGTACATCATCTATCAGTGGAATTGGGTAGTTTTCAACCATAGTCTACACACATTCTGAGCTCTCCTGTTTTCTTTTTTACAGGGACAATTGGTGATACATACTCTGACTCACTTGGTCGTGTGTATCCTCGAGCTAAGTCTTCGTCTAGTATTTTCTGCACTTCTATCTTTTCTGCTTGTGATAACCTTCGTGGAGAACAGCGAAACTGTTTTTCGTTTTCAATAGTAATTTTCATTGGTTTTTTTTATTTTAGGCCCCGCAGGTTTGTCACGTTCTACATAATGTTTTTCGAATAACTTTTCAAACTATTTTGACATATTTCCTTTTTTACTTTGTACCTTTCTTTGTCTGCGCCTATTACGTTTATTGCCAACAATTGTTTTTCAAAATTTTCTGTCTCGTATCTTTCTCCTATTTGGTCGTTGTAACCTTGTTCTTTTTTATGTTAATTGTATTGCATTCTGCTTTATCCCCTCCTTTCTTCTCTACTTTTTCCACTACTTTATTCTCTACTTTTTCCACTACTTTGTTCTGTACTTTTTCCAATTCTTTGCTCTCTACTTTTTTATTATTCATATCTTCGTTTTTTGTATTTTCGGTGTACTTTTCTTTGTGCATTACCGATGGCACAACGTTTTTGCTCATAACTTCTTCGACTATTCTTCGATTATTTTAAAATCACTTAGAAATAGAGAATCTCTTCCTAATACCATTAGGTGCCTTGTAGATTCATCGTTCACAAGAGATTAAATTTTTTTTTAAGTTTTGATGACACAAAATAATTTTCCAATTATATTTAATTTACTTCCATTTATTCCATAACATAAATTTAAATATTCATTATTTGTTTTAACTCCTTTTGGAACAGTTGATTCTCTTAAAAAGGTGATTGTGCTACCAGAATCTACTAGGCACTCTATGGAGGATGTAACATTATTATTTTCATCAAGAAAACTTACATCTAAATATCTTACATAATCGTTCTTCTTGTATAGTGAGCACTCTCTAGCCAGGTGTCCAAGTTTGCCACAAGCAAAGCATGTTCCTTCAGCTCGTTTCGGCTTGCGACAGTCTGCCGCCAGATGTCCAAAGCTGTGAAAATTGAAACACTTGTTGACTTTCTGTTTCGGGGTTCCATGCGTTGACGTCAGCAAATTTTTATTTGGGGCTTGCCAAGTTGAGACCTCGGCTGATCAATGCTTGGAAGGCATCTTCGAAGTCTGCCGCCAGATGTCCAAAGCTGTGACAATTGAAACACTTGTTGACTTTCTGTTTCGGGGTTTCATGCGTTGACGTCAGCATGTTTTTATTTGGGGCTTGCCCAGTTGAGACCTCGGCTGATCAATGCTTGGAAGGCATCGAGGCTTCGGACGGCGCAGCAGATTTGTCAGCTGCGTACCGGATATTCCATCAATCAAGTATTGTACCATTTCGTCGTTTCCCATTTTCAGTTCGTTTGCCAGGGTCATTTTATCAAAATAATACACTGCAATTATTCATCAGGTTTCCACTTTCGGCTTTCGAATTTGCGGTGTATTTCAAGGACGTTCTCTTTGGTGCCAAAGAAGCTCTCTAACTGCATCAAAATGCTATCGATGTTTCCAGAGAGAAGTGTTGGACTACACAGCAGCCAAATGTTTGCTTTGTTCTTGAGGCGTACACATATTAGTGTACGCATGTCGTCATCACGCACTTTGAAAACTTCTCGAATATTTTTCACTAGCACAAAAACTATTCATTGATGTTGTTTTCACCATTACTCGGGGTTGCGCAGATCAATGTTTTCGCACTGTAAATTCCACATCATACGCTCCATGTCTTCGTAATTTTGTTAGAAAACATTTCTGTTAGGTTTATGTTTTCATTAACAGTGTTGCCACTATAAATGTTTGGCTCAGCATTGGCAACTTCAATGTTATGTTGAGCGTTGCCACCAAAATCGCAGATCATTACGTCATCGTTTTCCTCATTGCTGCTGTTCCTGACGTAATTGCCGCCAATTTCTGCCGAAATGGAAGAGCCGTTATTGCTGGCCACCGCTTCGTCGCTGTTGTAGTTGTTGCTTGTCTGAGCACCGCAAGAACCGTGGCTGTTGTTATTGGTGCTTGGTGTAAAATCGATCAGTTCTTTGTTGGAGTCTAGCATGTCCAAATGGAGGTTTGGAGCACTTTCTGACGGTAATGCAGCATTCAGCTGAGCCAATAAAGCAGCTTTGGTGCCTCTAATTGGCAAACCCAGTTTTTCGCACCACATTGTTAGGTTGTATAGACTTAGATTGCCTAAATTCACACGTGACTTCATAATCAAGTTATTTAATTACTAATATTGATAAGTTGTAATTTATTCGAACGATTTTGTAGGTTTAATTCTGTGACCACTTCTAAATTTGTAGGAAGGGCCTGACGCAAATAAAAAGCAACCGTTTCTTGTGCGCGTCACTTTAAGAATGCCGTCACCATCGTCCTCATTTTTCTAATGTTAGTGCCAGACCAAGAGTAAGAGGATCGAATGTTTCGCTCTCTTAGCGCAGCCTTCGATGTGATTACAGTTATATTTACATTGGGACACCTAATGCTATATCACAGTAGAATCTTACATGCTAATTATTACTACAATATTTAGATCACTATTTCCTCAATGCAATCTCAGCTGTTGTGCCAAGTTTTCCAACATGTAACTTTTTTGAGAGCCAGAATCTAAAGCAGCCCCATTTGAGGAAGGAAATAGCTAAATAATAAAAGAGCTTGAAATATACCTGATTTTCTTAAAGTGTTCACATCATAACTATGCAGCTATGAATGATGTCGTATTTAACGCACATGACATTTCGAACATTAAAAATAATAAAAATGAAGACGTCTCACCATTTCCAGTTTCTCTTGGTCCGTGTAGCCTCTTTGCAGCTACATACTGATAATGCCTTTTAAGTAAGTTAGTTAGTTAGTTAGTTAGTTAAGTTTATAAGGCAGTTTATGGTAATTTAGCTACACTTCGAAACGATACTTAGTGGTATGATGAACTTTAACCATGATTAGTTGAATAGGGATTGCATGAGTAATATTGTTATCATTGTCAAATGACAATAATGACGAGTTAGTTGCAGAAATATTGTCAAATATAGCTTCCACACTTACATCGGACAGCTTGTTTATTATATGTATCTCAAATAGTTGTAAAATAGTGTCCAAAAATATTTGGCATTTGTTGTCATGCACAGACTTAAGGCTACCAAGAGCTTATGAACAGTTTCAATCAGTCAACTTATATGCCTTAGCTACTCTTAACGAACGACTCATTGTATAAACAGCTAATTTGACCGAGTTTTAAAAAATACAAAAAAAATTCCTAGATCTAGAATGTTTCCTGTTGAGCTTAGGCCAACGTATCTTGCCATTTGGGACCTCTGTGGGTGGTCATGCGTACTTTATAGATCCGCATTTATGTCAATCACGTTCTACAAAAGAGCTTTGTAATCCCGCAAAGATCTTCGATCGACCCTCTACTGTCGTTTTTCGGACTTAGATTAACCAACCTAGCTTGTAGATTCATAGCCATTTTTGTGTTCTTTTCAACAGATCTTAATGACACTTTTTTTTTTATTTTATGAGTATGCGAGGAATCGGCCAGCAATATTGGCCATAACAAGGCAGGTAGGGTAAGTGTTGAGGCCACGCCTTGTCAAATGGACAAGGTTTTACTGCAAGTAAATTTTATCATATGAGATGGTTTGCTCTTAAAATGTGGTTCGCAAGCGAAGTTGGAAGTAATTTGATCAAGTTTCTGCAAAAATGATACCAACTTTATGCTGGGTTTCATAGTTTGTCGATGTATCTGTTACTTATCAAATTCCGACAAATTTCAGCTAAGTAAACTATAGGCTTAGACGCAAGAAATGGTTTTTAACACTAAACACAACGATATCGCTTAGGCAATGCTATTGATGCTAGCTAAACGCGATTGAAATTAGGTAGCAAAACTTTTGTGCACTATTATTGCAGTACTATGGCAGTTAGCATTAAGATAACTATTGGCGAATTCCATGGCTAAAGCAACGTGCTTTTTATCCATGCTTTTTATCGATTAAGCTTAACACATTTATGTGTATACCTATGTACAAATGATATGTATATATGCCGCTTTATATTTCAAGTGCAAATTATTAAAATATGGAAAATATATTTATGTGCACTGCATATTATATATTTTTAGGTATAAATGCAAATATTTGCAAAATTAAAACAAATGTACATTTGTGTACTTGTTTTATTTTCCTTCAAATGGTTTTATGTAAATGTATGTTTTATATTATGTAATGATGTATTTTTACTCATACATATGTTGTATGGACAAAAGATCGCATATCAATTTACTACGAAATACCCGTGCTTCTTCAGTTCCAAAATCAAAATTCAAAATCGACGTCGCGATTCACGCCGGAACACAAAATTTGCGTTTCAGACACATTCTATAATCACTTATTCTAATAATACCGAATTAAAAAATTTGCCAGGTAAATACTTCATGGGTTTTTTTTATATTGTGGGTTTTATTATGGCATTTGTGCTTGCAGTTTGATCTGTACAAACATTAAGCTGCGCTTCGCAGTCTAAATCCTGTCAAGAAAAGCCAGATGGTAAGCTGCTAGCGATGTTAGAAATTAAAATAGCTATTTAGGCTTACGGGAATTTATTTTGATAATTTTTTTAGTCTGTGTAATTATAACATTGAAACATAATCAAAATGTAGTTTCGAATATATTAATATTTTTTTAATGTTACATATTGTATTTTATTATATATATTTTCAGTTAAGCGTAACAAGAGAGGGGAAAATAATTTATATATTAGTAAATTTAGTCCCCATTTCAAGACTGTTCAAAAACTTTATCAACCAGTCTACAAATCCCAACTTGATTGTCCTATATCATTTAATGGAATGTGTGGGACAATTTCAATATCCGACCTCAACACAGCTATGAATGAGTAAGTACATAACAACATTCAAAATATGGTGCAATAATATTAGCACCTAATAACAATAGAGACATTAAATACGTGTCCAATAAGCTATGGAAAATCTATTGATAAACAACTAACTACTTTATTTAAGAAGCATTTACTTATTCGACGCGTATATAAAATGCCGTTTTAATAATGAAATAAAATATATAAATTGAAATATGTATAATGTCAATTTGTATTGTGAAGAAAAAAAAGTTTATGCATTGAATAATTTTAAAACTAGTTAGTGCACTAGTCGGGGATGCCCGACTAGGGATACCCTAGAATTTCTTTTCCATAAGGGATGATATCTAAGTTAAAAAAAAAAAAAGTTAGTTCCCTCTGTTGGTGTCGAATTCGCAACTACCTTCAGCCGACCGAATTACTTCCCATCGCCTCATACCTTACTCCCATAGGAAGAATTGAGTTTTAATAATAAACCCTTTCACTTGCAAACAAAAAAACCCAATTCAAATAGCAGCACATAAACACAGCACAGAAAACAATACAATCGCAATTGCGATTCTTCTTTTGGGCTCCAACGCTTGCACATTACAACAGGTTGATGGTCTACACATGAAGATATAAGTTGAATTGGCTTATTGTCAAACAACTTCAAACATACTACATATATTATAATTGATTTCACATTTCAAATCGAAAGATCCTCTTCCTCGCTTTTTGAGTTCTGGTAGCTGACAAACAGTACCTGTAGAAAATATGCCAATTTCCTTCAAAGAAATTAGAAGGCTTACTGACATAAACCAGTTATCGAAATATAGCCTAAAGTTTTTATGTTTGGGAAGGCCTTTTGCCAAATTAAAACTACATCTGACGATATTCCCAATCGATATGACGGGAGGTGTCTTCACCAGCAAACAGTGTGAAATCATATACTAATCCAGATGTTCCAGCACGCGTAAACATTTTTATACCCCATTTGTGGGCTTTAGCTGGGTTGTATTGTTTGTAAGTTGATCGACCTGTAACCAAGAGTTGTAGTAACAATTACCATAAGAATTTTTATGGATACATACCTTTGAACGCCATTATTTGTTCATCGACGCATTGATTGTTTGCTATTTATTTTTTTCAAATCTACTGCGTGGTATTGCATCTTTTATAGCCGTAAGCTTTCAATTGTTTAACAGAATTCCTATATAACAGTTTATATCCCCTCGAATACATTTAAGCTCTATGCCAATCTCTTGCAGCCCATATAAATCAGTTTGCTGTGTGATCAAATCAATATCTGGAGTGTCAAAAAAGGTGTAGAAATAGTCTTCTGGTGTCATCACCTTATCAACTTTCAAAGTACTACATTCTTCCCAAATACTCTCTGGAGCTTCAAATTACTTTGATCTCCACTTCAGTGTCTTCAAATCAATTTTTTGAAAGCAAGTGCAAGTGCATAGTTCTTGTTCACGTTCATCCGAAATTAAATTGTCAAGAAGGTTGATATCTATAGTTTCTCCTCTTTGCACGATTCCTTCCAAATTCATCTCCAACACAGCAGAAATGTCTTCAAGCCCATCTTCACTTTCTACGTCACTAGAGACATCCCAAATAACGTCTTAAATTCGCTCAATGTCGTCTTTTGACAAACCTTTCTCTTGCGGTCTCATATCTAAACACAAATAAATTTATAACCTCAATTGCCCACAAGCAACTTAATAAGTTTAAAAATTACTCACCTGATAATTATTTAATGAAAAACAAATCTTATTTTAACATTTCAAAGATTAATCTTTTCTGAAAACTATTGCATTTATACACTTTTAGTTTTTCTTATTATTATAATTACAAAATTACTCATATTAATACCTCTTCCGAATTCGACAAATATATTTTCGCCGACGCTAATTGGTCTTCTAAATGAGCTTTCTTTGCATTATATTTTGAGAAGACACATACAAGTTCCGTTATCATTACGGATAAGCAGAAAAGAATAAAGAAATAAAGAATATACCGTTAGCCGTTAAAACGCCGGAATTGCTCTCAAGCACCGTTGGGGTTGAATGGGTTAATAACTTTTTTGTTTCTAAACTGATCTTGATCAAAAAGGCAATTGCATTAAGATTGTGGTTTAAGTTGGTGGGCAATAAACATTTTTTTATTTACTTGATTTATAGCTATGTAATGGTAGCGGGGAGTTGGCGATAGTTATAAAATAAAATATACTTAATATATACATATATATATATATTCTGGAAGCTACATGTCAAGTTTGGTGACTTAAGCTCTGATATCTTATATCTTATATCTGATATCTTTGCTCAAAAAACAGGATTTCAATATCGATTTTTATAGATTGCTTGGAAACGGGGCAAGTCATCGATTAACGGAAACCAACTCGTACTCGTATTGCGTTCATACATGCGGACGGAAGGACTGACAGACGGACAGAATATATATACTTTATGGGGTCGGAGCTGCTTCGCTTTTCATTCTACATACATTTACACAAATACACTATACCCTTTTTACCCATTTTTAATGGGTTCAGGGTATAACAAATTATGAAAAAATAAAAAATAAGCATAAATAAGAAACTGTATGAGACAATTTTCCCTTGCCTCTAAAAGTAGATTGTATATCTTAGGTTGCCGTGTAGCCTTAAAAATGGCTCATCGGTAATTAGAGAATTCACTTTCAATGTGATAAAATATATATTAAAGGCCCGATACATTATGGTGTATACGGACGATATTAATTTGGTTGCTCGCACCATTAAGGAATACCATGATATTTAAATCTTTAAATTATTAAATTAACAGCAGCACACTGCACAAACGAATAAAATATTTCCGATACAATGCTCGATCAGAAGGAATTTTATCGAAAGATGAACACTTTAAGACTATTCAGGATTACCCAGAACCATTATTGAAGAGAATATTTGCTTTTAACACTGAGATCCATCTTGATACGCCACCAGTGCTATCCATATTTAATCCCAACTTTGAAACTGAGATAGATAGACTAATAATATATTATATCCCTTACTGCTCCCGGAAGGCATTGGTAGCCGAGTCTTGCTACCACAGCTTTTAGCTTGGTAGGCTAGCCATAATCTATGCTATACGTCGATTTGGTTGTACCTTGGAACACACACATTACCAATTGCAATTCCCAAGTTCAAACTTTGGGTAAAAATGAATGAAAAAGGCAGAATGAATTGGTAAGGAACTCTTACTAGAAGTTGCGTCGTCTTGCTGCCGGTAAGTGTGCTAATGATCTAAATAGAAAATACTGGTTACCCTTACCCTAGTCCTGTATTCTACATTCCCTTTGATACACTTTATATTGAACTTTTGGGCCCACTGACCATTTGAGCCCAATGTCCACTATTATTTGAAAACGGAAGCATTTATTATTAATCATCGATGCATTTACTATATTCGTTAAATTGTACTCGGTTTATTCTACTGATACTAGAGAAGTAAATGTCTCATTGGAGATATACTTTAAATATTATAGCCGCCCCGATCTGACAGAGTTCCGTGCTTTACAACGTATCAATTTGTTATCATTTTCTTGAAGCCGAAATATTGAGCTTGTTAAAGTGGCAGTTGCAACATCTTCAGAATATAAACAGTGTCTGTAACGCAAACTTTCAAAAGTCAGCAGCGTCAATATTAAAAATTTTAAAACAAGCTGTAAATAAGTAATTGGTAATTAAGTCAAGTTGGGCACTCTAATAACGAAGACAGCGCGAGGTGACGCCGACTTGTAAAGTATAGAAACAAGAAGAAATTACAATTAATTACAATTACAATTTTTAATTAATATTTATTGTATTGAATCAAAAATAGCATACATTTTTATTACAACACACAGTTGGTTTAGGTGATATTTCGCCAAGCATGGTTGTTTTTTCAGGCTTTATCGTGGACAAAAGTCAAAGGCAGCGTTTTTTGAATAAGGCTGCATCGTCACGTAGGTAGTCGGGGGACTCTCTTCTATGTCGTGGTTGGAGGAGGTCCTTGAATGATCTTCTCCTTAGCGTCCTGACTACACACCTCCCAGCGAGGTCTCTTGCTGCACGGTTGCAGTGTCGCTGCAAGAGTTCGTTGTACCAGTTGTCGAATGCTCCGACTTGGCTGTCTATGGTCTCCATTTTCAGGTCTCTTTGCAAGGTAGAATTGCTGACTGGTACAGCACCGGTCATTCGGCGTAAGGTTAAGTTTTGTAGTGTCTAAATCCGTCTTCGATTTGTCCGAGATGGAACCCCCAAAACCTGAATACCGTATCTCCAAGTTGGCGCCACCACGACATTGTACGCTGCCAATGGGCTGTTGGGGTTTAGTAGCCAGTTGGCCTTGGCCATCTTATAGAGGCACTGCTTGAGAAGGTCATCGATGTGCGCCCGACGGCTAAGCCTCTTATCCAGTACAATCTAAGATACATGGCGCTTCTGCCAGGGTGAAGGGGGCTGCCATCTATCCAGACTGCTGGAGCCTTGCCACGCCTCAGTGTGTAGTTGACCGCCTGGCACTTCGAGGCATTGAGCTTGATGTTCCACCTGCGTGCCCAGCTCTAAAGCAAGTGGATGTATTCCTGGGCCACGCAGTGGCTTCGTACTCGCAGTGGGTGGATTAAAATATTGCCACGTCATTGGCAAATGTGGCCATCAGGTGTTTGCCTGGGGTGGCTAACTTATGTTGGTCATCCGGAGTGGGGATGTCTGCCGTGTACAAATTGAAGAGAAATGGGCCCAGTACGCTGCCTTGAGGGACAACCCGCTTTTGTCATGCGAACAGGAGAGATTGCTGCCCTAACTTTGACTTCGAACTTTCGCTCCGTTAGATACGAGCGCAGAAGCAGAAAGAAGGGGCCGGGGCCATCAATCCAGACTCGGGCAAAGGCCTTCTTAACGTCTACAAAGACTCCATAGCAGTAGTCTTCGTTGTCGTAAGCCTTAAGAATATGGCTAATCACTCTGTGAACCTGTTCAACAGCGCCATGCCCTCCCCTGAACC